ACAACAGTAGATAATTATATAGAAATTATGTGTGCAAAGTTTGGTTTAGGTAGATTTTGAAATGTGGACGCTATTGACGAAATTCTGTAGCGGGGGAAGGGGGGGAAATAAAAAAAAAAAAATAAACTCGTCCTTACTTGGACCTAGGAGAATCTGGATGCCAACTTTGGTTATTCTAGCTTTTATAGTTTCCGAGATCCTTGCGTTCATCCAGACGGACGGACAGACGGACGGACAGACGGACAGACGGACGGATATGTCTAGATCGATTTCTCTCGTCATGCTGATCAAGAATATATATACTTTATGGGGTCGGAGATGCTTCCTTCTGTATGTTACATACTTTGCACAAACCTAATATACCCTTTTTACCCTACGGGTACAGGGTATAAAAATAGGGTGTAGTTAGTGAAAAGGTCTTGGTGTTCATATGGATGTATAGTATGCCGCAAAAACTGCTGGCCGCGCTTGGGCAGAGAATAAACATATATATAACCATAACTTCCTTTATAATTTACCTATCATGATGAAGCATACGTACACATAATCACTAACTGGTTGTAAATTCCAAATTTTAGTTTAAAATTCCAAGAATTACCGGAGTAATGAAAAATTTCGAGAATTACCGGAGTTATGAAAAATCACTAATTGCTGGGGAGTATCAGAAAAAAACACAAACTCGTCCTTTCTCAAACTCGGGAAAATCGGGATATGAAGTTTGGTAGTTCTAGCTCTTCTACTTTTTGAGATCCTTGCGTTCATACAGACGGACGGACGGACAGACGCACGGAGAGAAGCACATGGCTCTATAGACTCGGCTTGTCCCCTGATCAATAATATATATACTTGTGGGGGCCTGCCACGTCTCCTTCTGTGTGTTACATACATTCACACAAAACTAGTATACCCTTTTACCCTTTGCGTACAGGGTATAAAAATATAACCATTCACTAAAAGGCTATAAAAATGCAAATTGTTTTGTGCATTTGTAGCAAACGAAAGGGAGGCATCTCCAATTCTTTGGTGTACATTGGCCTAAATATTCCCCAGGGTATACAAATTATTATAAATTTAAAATATATATTAATACGCCCAGAACAGTTGGTTGACTTGCTCTGGGTGTTTACAATTGAACTGTTATTTAAATAATAATAGAAGCAAATTGTTGTCCACTGCGATAAAATCGGCCAATAACTTTAAATGCACCATGAGTAAGACTTATAATTTTCCTACAGAATCCATACATCATTCGTTTAGTTACACTTGTGCTTTGAAGTAAGGTAAGGGTGTGCTGTTTTTGAGTCAACTCCACTTCACATTTATCGACCTAGCTACCCTTTCATAACGAGTAGAAGCCGCAGCTCACTGGCAAAAAAGGCAAATAAATGTAATTATTTGTGTATACTGGCAAGTAGCAACCACAGTGGCAAAGATCTAGGAAAACGAGCATGACAACAAGGCCATAAGATTATGTGTATAATACACACGCTGGCACGCACACAGACACACACACACACACACACACACACACACACATGTCATAGACATAAGGGCTCATATGTTGAGTTAAATGTTGAATGAGTGACTGACTGCCTGCACCTTTTTGCCTTGGCAGGGCAACAAGTGAAAATCCATTTGTTAGAGGAAATCGTGCAAAAAGCTTAAATACAAAGCTTAAACATAAGTAGCAACGAGCACAGCAATACATACAAACACAGGTGACCCTCACACACACACACACACACACACACACACATACACATCCGCATACACACATGTACATATATATGTAATAAGTATGTATCTGTGTATATGCATATGGATGCCGCAGGTCTTAGGAGGCTGACTGGGAAACTAAATGAGACTTTCCCGCCGTGTGCCTTTTATTTTTGCTGTACCTTTTAACATTTTACCTTTCGTTTTTTTTTTTTTTTTAACGGTAAAGCACATTAAATGAGCGTGTTTGTGTGTGTGTGTTTGTGCGTCCCAATTCCCATAGGTGAATTTTTGTATTTAAAATATATGACCAAGAAATTTTCAAACATTATTTTTTAATTTTATTTATTTTATTTTTTTTTTTTGGCTTTCCTCGCCTGTCGCAAAGCAATTTGCCTTGGCCTCAATAAGCAAAGTAATAAAAGTGAAAAAAATAAACATATCCCGAAATGAAAACGGTAGCGAGCCACAAGTGTGGGTGCTTGACTTGAATTTACGTTGCCTTTCAACCAAGCCGCTTAAGGCGGCCAAGTCTTTAAATGCCATGGGATGAGGGCCGATAAAGCGGATAAGACTGCATTAAAGCTGATAGCTGAAATGCATACAAATCGACCCCGACAAATCGAAATTTGATGAAGTTTGCTTGTGGTTCAAACAAATAAAGCATTATGCACTAAACGGTTATTAAAGCGGAGCCTTTTTAATGCAATTACGCCCATAATATCAGTCACTGGCATGACGTAGTTCTTAGTATTCATTTAGAATTAGAACGTTCTAAAGTTCCAAACGGCTAAAAGGGTATTTGTGTTACACCCAGAAGCAGGCATGGCAGACATTACAAAGTATATATCCAAATTTTTCATCATCCGTATGTTTTTCAAATAATTCGGGCCTGCTGAACTTTGGAATTTCATTTTTTTCCTTTTTTTCTTACCAACATAATTACATTAAAAATGTTGTTTTTTTTTTTTTTTTTATAAAGGAATACATATACATACATATTAAGCTGCCAACACTTTGTAGTGCTAGTTTCCATAATCAGTCACTTTTGATAAGACTTGTTTTATTGATATGGGAAACCTAGCAATCATGCTGACTAACTGAACATGCAGACTAAGGGAAGAAGAAGAATGAAATGCTAGAGTAGTGCGCGCCTGACTTTTGTGCCTTGTACCCGCTCGCCCTTGGAATTATTTAATCTTGAGCAATTTTTAATGAGTAGAACGTTGAAGTCGCGCAAGTGAAAAAACCCAGTTTTTTATACTCTGAACCCGAATGGTAGAAATGTGTTTTTAATTGCGAATGTATGTAATACCATGAAGGTGAGTAGTCTTCGTTTTCTTATTTAGCTTCACGATCTAACGATCTATCCATTCCTTGTCTATTAGTTTCTCCGCCCATTTATTCATTAGCCAATCTGCATAAATGCAAGGATTTCCAAAAGAGAAAGGTTTTACCAAATTACTTAATTCACAATTACACTTTGCCTTAAAATTCTATTCATTTTAAAAAGCTAATCTTAAAGAAACAATATTCCTTATATCCTCTACTCAATTACATATGTATTTCTAATACTTCAATATAAAAAACATCTTGACGAGGACAGAAACTTCGAGAGGAATTTTATGTACCATGTTGTGTTGTATCGAAAGGACCATAAGTCTGCTTATTTCAATCACTATGCGTCTAGCAGTCAGATAGGAACATATATATATATTTCTTAAACTTTCGCAATGTTTTGGAAAAATTCGCTCAAACAAATTTCGTTACATGACCAACAAACGGTTTATATCTAAAACCTTTGAAAAATGGAAAAATTCAGTATATATTTTTCTTTTTGACTGTTTGGTTAATAGAACTAAAAAGACTTAGTTCTTTTGGCACAGTGTTGATATCAGAAATGTTGTGAGTAGCAGTGTTGTTCATTCTTCGGTAGAAATTCATATCAAAAATGGGGTAAATTGTATTCAGGGCAGAGGTTGAAGATGCACCCAATCTTATAGGCATACATACATATGTTCGAGTATATATATGATGGACATGACGAAACGAATCGATTAGTATAAATACTTGGTTTTTTAATTTTAAGGCGTAGCAGCGTCGGCTAACAATTTTGGCAAGAATGTCTTATCCATACAGAGACGAAGCTAATCACAAACTATATATACCATCATTCTTTTATATAGCAATCAGTGGAAAAATACACTAAGTAGTACGAAAGACTTGGCGCTTACCAATATATCGTATCAAAATTTAGTGTTTATGAGTATAATATAATGCTTATTTGTAGTCTACATTTTAATCAGTGCTTACACGAGTATCAAATAACAAGTTGTGAAATCAAGTTTGTTGATTCGGTCTAATTATAGTTTGCCATAGTACTCTAGTAAGCTTTAAGTGTATTATCGTAAGCAATCTATACGACTGTTCTTCGCACTGCCAGGCTGTCTTTCTGTTTCGTGCAGATCGGCCAGGAATTATTTACCATTAATCTTGCATAGATGCACAGCTAATTATGTTTGCAGAATTGTTTTCGTGCTTTGTGTTCATCTGATAATGAACTTTATAACCTACTTTAAATGTGTTATATATATCTAATATCTAAATAAAATCTAACTAATATCTAACTATTTTTTTTACCATTAAATACACTCGGCTGTTAGTCAGGGCTCACCTTGTCGGACTGGCAATTAAATATGTCCCTAACTGGTTGGGGGTTTTCTTCTTTTCCTAAGTAATATAACTAAAATATATTCACTTTTTTCTTACGCCCAGTCCTAGCAAATCCCATATATATTCTTGATCGGTAGGACAAGATGAATCGATATAGTCATGTCTGTCTGACCATATGTATACACCCAGAGATATCGAAAGTAAATAAGTTTTAAAAGGAATGGGTATTAAATTTCTTCTTCAGTTCCCAACAGACTATAATTAGAGACAACGTATTTATTTAGATAAATAAATAGTTCTGTTTTGTTAAACTTTTTGAACAGGCCTCGTTATAGTGCGGCAACAAGCAGTATTGGCTGATCAATGTCATTGCACGATAGCAGACGTAAGAAGCGTTGAAAATTGGAATTTAAATACCCATACGTATACCTAGAAATTGGCAATGTGTGCTGCCAAAAGCGACAGCTCGCTGCACGTTTTTGCGAGCAGTCGGCCAAACGCGCTATGTTAGCTGGAACTTTATATTCGATTGAATTGGCCAAGCAGACGAAAAGCTGTCGACGCAGTGTAATGAGCTAGCGATAAGATTAGCCGGCACGCTCACACTATAAAGCCACTAGGGCCATCTGCCCCTTATTCGCAGTTGTCCACAGTACGCCGGCGAACGAACAGATCTCTTTTATTCTCGAAATGGCCAAGTGGAGTACAGTGGTTCGTGTGGTGTGCCTTCTGGCCATGTTCGCGCGCATCAGCCTGCAGGTAAGTGGGTGGCAATCTGAACTTTGGACATATTCGATAAGCGGTGGCAATCAAAATAGGTTTGCAACTTTGTATTGAACATTTGCTCCCTTGGCAATGACATTTTTTCAGGCAGCGATCACTAGTGACACTCCAGATGAAGATTTTTACACCGCTGGAGTGGTGGAGTTTTATTATAACATCGATAGTGACATGAACCAAGCGTGGAGTGAAAATTTGTTAGGTTTCCTGGAAATAATCGGCTCGGAGAATGCCAGCGCCACGGACATTATTGTATTTCCAGAGGCAACCCTTAACAGTCAGCAAACAGCCACGTTTGTTCCGGAACCCAAGCTGCTGATTGTGCCCTGCCTAGATGATCCCAATGCCACTTATTACCACGAGTTGCTTGTGCGAATTTCCTGTGCTGCTCGCGAATTTTCCAAATATGTGGTCATAAATGTGAATGAAAAGCAAGTGTGTTCCGAAAACGCTCAGAATGATCCACGTCCCTGCGCCCCCAATGACCTGAACATATACAACACGAACGTGGTGTTTGATCGCAACGGCACTGTCATGTCCCGCTACCGCAAAGTCCACCTGTACGGGGAGCCACGCAATACGACATATGAGCAGGAACGCGTCTTCTTTGAGACGGACTTTGGTGTTACCTTTGGTCACTTCATATGCTTCGACATACTGTTCTACACGCCGGCACACGAGCTTATCGTAGAGGCCGACATCAGGGATTTTGTTTTTCCTTCTATGTGGTTCTCACAGCTCCCCTTTCTAACAGGTGAGTGCTTTAATCTCGATTAGTTAAGACTTGTATTGCCAAAAATATAAGAATATTTCATCCAAATGTTAAATATTAATCCGCAAACTTCGTATTTGAATGATAATGCAGGGGTTTCCCCCATAGCTAACTGAAAATATCGTCTTAAAGTTTAAGTACGTTTTTGTTTTGAATACATGTGAATAGCGAGTATTATGGACTTAACACGAAAAAATGTTATTATAGGAAAATATCCTAGAAGGATATGTACGTAAAGCACTTTGGCTAATTTTATTCCTCAGCTAGTTAATTCCTCAGCTAGTTATTCCTCAGATAGTTAATGGCTTAAATGCAATTCTTCAAATAAATAGGCATCAATATTTTAAGAGATTTCAACAATATTATATCGTATTTATTCAGTTTAGTTATCTGCTTAATCTGCCCTATGCAAGAAATACTTTGCGGACATTTATATGATATTATTTTTTTGAAACAAAAGGCGTTTCAGTTCTACACGAGAATATTTAGAAAATCGCCCTCAGGCGCCCCTTTTTGGGGTTTTATTTCAAAAATATGTATTTTTCTTATTATACACGTACTTAGTATCTTCATAGGGAACTTTAAATGAATAAAAGCTAATAATATTCGAACTAAGTTTGACCTACAAGTAAAATGAATTATTTTCTACATTAAATTTTAAGGTTGAGATTTCTTATTTCAAAACAAAAAATTCTTAATTAATTAAACATTTTTACTTTTAAATGTTTGTTTTGTATATGACTACGTACATAATTTTCGTATTGAACCAGTTTCTTCAAGTTTGGATCTTTAGTGAAAAAAATTGAAAAATTGTACGTTTGTGTGATTTTTTGTTTGTTTCAACATCTGATATTAATGGCATTTTCTTGAAGGTTGTTACATGTACATATATATTTATATACCCAATATTTATATACCCAAGGTTATGTTGTCGCGGTAGTCAGAGGAATAGTCCTGACTCACTTAGACCAAGGCGTGGCCCGTTGCGTTGCCTCTTGGTCTGTTCCAGAGTCCTGTCCTCCCGTGGCTTATGACTTGGGAAATATCCCTCGGCCGCTTTCTGGACAACGCCGCTAATTTTGGGAGAAAATTGGCTCCTACGATGTGATGTTTGGTTCTTAGTAAGCCAGAGGGGGATCACTGTTTCCTCCTCGTCCTCGTTCTTACAGCTTAGACAAAAGTCGCCCTGTACCTAAAGGGTTGCTCCTTTAAACTAGGCTAGTGCGAGAGAAGTCGATATGGCCATGTCCGTTTGTACGTCTGTCTGTATGAGCGTGATTATTTCAGCAAGTACAAGAGCTACCAAACCCCAAACTTTGTGTCCATATTCATTTATTCTCCACTCCCCTGCTATTAGTTCTTGGAATTTTAAACTCAATTTGGAAATTATGGCTTTTGTGAACGCATACAAAGATTCATCGTGATAGGTCATATGTAGGGAGTTACAGCTATTAGTGTAATATTATTTTTTATTTTATTTAAATTAATTTAAATAAAGCAATATTGATTTTTGTTGTTCGAATGGGTACTGGGTATTAAAGAGTTAGGCCCGACTCTAGCATTCACCATTCTCGTTAAAACTGCATTCTATAGTTCATAGACAACAACGGACAACTATTTATTGAAGCTTATAAAAAACTTCGGTTTGATTGTTTGGTTAATTATTTAATGATTGGATACTTCCTTTGTCGTTACAGCCGTGCAGTTCCAGCATGCTTGGGCCTATGCTAACAATGTTAACCTACTGGCCGCCGGAGCCAGTCGACCAGAGGTGGGCAGCAGTGGCACGGGCATCTATCATGGCCGGGAGGGCACATTGGTTAGTGTGCTCAACATGCAGGAGGGTGAACAGCGCATTTACGTGGCACGTGTGCCTAAGTTCAAGGGAAGGATGACCGGGTCTCGTAGACGTACTATAAGCGCTGCTTTGCCACGTAAGATAAGTCAGGCGCAGAGCTTCGAGGAATCTTATATTAAGCTTAAGCGTGACAGTTTGGAAAATTATGAGAACGAGCCGCTCGAGCTGGTTGCCACGGAGGCAGGTAATCTAACGCGACAGCTCTGCCATGGTAACTTTTGCTGCGACTTTGACATCGCCTGGCGGCCAGTCATGGAGCAGGAGGCCACGGAGGACTTGTATAGCTATCGCTTGGGCGTGTATGATGGTGAGCGCAATGAACAGGATGTGGACAATAATTATTTACGCAACTGCGCGATCTTTACCTGCACTGGACCTAGCATTGAGCAGTGCGGCATGATGTTCGAGTCCAAGGGGCAGTCAAATGTGATCTTCACTCGCATTGTCATAGAGGCGGCGTTTCCGAAGTCACGCGAATTCCTTCTGCTACCCGACAGCCTGCGCGAAGATCTTCTGCCCCTGGAACCGTCCCAGTTCGATTGGTCCACAACGGAGGTGGGGTGAGTGAACAGAATGGACAGACATAATAATGAGGGTAATGCGGCTTCTTGTCCCATGCAGCTATTATCAATTCACACGCTACTCTCTGCATGAGGGCGTCGAGGTCCCCAATTTGCTGACCTTTGCCATTTATGGCAACTACTACGATGACCAGTGCACCTTCAGCGGGCAGTTGAATGCCGAATGTGGCTATATTGCACAGGAAGATGAGCCGGGAGGCGCGTCGTCCTTGACTTTGCAACTAGGTGGCTACTGGGTTGTGTTGGGGGCAGCCTTGGTCGTGGCCAGGAGCTGTTTCGCATTTGTGTAATGTTAGCGTATAACAATAAACAAAAGCCTCATCAATGTTATTCATTCAGTTTCTATATAGCTTCCTTTACACTATAGTATGTTCTGAAACTATTTACCAAAAGTGTTCATTTATCTACAAGAAGACCTGACAGACACCATAAAAAAAGTTAGAGTTCTTACGGCTCTGCCATTAGGCTACAAAAGGCAAATTTCGGTGTTGGTTGAATCCATATTTTTGGATGTTTTTGCGACAAGGAACATATACACAAAATAAAATTTGATACTCATTTTCATCAACGAGATAAAATTGAAAAAAAAAATTTAAGTATCCACTGGCAAAGTAATTTCTCTACAATAAATTATTAACTACTACTACTATTTTCAATTTAATATACATAAATGGGTTAAAGCTCATAGACAAACAATTTTACTGCAGTAGAACGGCGACAAAGTGTAGCACCATATTTGGTCTTCTTCTTCCTTGCTTTTGCTATACCAACTATGGAAAAGTAAGTTTATATTTATGCACGTATGTAGGTGGTATATGAACGATTGGCCGAGTTTGCCAGAACTTCTTCGTTTTTAAAGTTATCTCAGTCATACTTGTACAGGTGGTAGTCTTATCATATACTAAGTGTATTTTCGAGCTTGAAACATCATCTCACTTTTAGTTCTCCAGCTTTTCCTCTGCTCCGACAAGTGAGTTTATTGTGAACAATTTTAAAACAAGCTCCGCCGACCCGTGAGACAAACAATCGTTTTTGCAAATACTTGTATGTAAGCGGAGAAGCTAAAATCGGGTGTCCCGACTTTGAAATACTCTGTACATATGTGTAGAATAAGTATAGATACAAAATTAATAAAAAAATAAAATAAAAATAAAAAACAGAACGAAATTGTAGTATTACAAAACAAATGTTGATCGCTTGTACTCCTTGGGTATTCAAACTCATGTAAAGGGTCTATATGCACATTAACTAGCCAAATACGCAGAATTAAAGAACGGCAAGAGCGACGCTAAGTCGGTGAGTGTATGCAGCCTAACGGTAAAGAAAGAACGGTAAGGCGGCTTGCGACAGAGCAAAAGTAGAGCTGATACTCACGATATACGAATACTCACGCTCCAACAACAGTGAAGAGAGCGGCGTGGGAGTTACATGCAAAGGGCGCGGAGAGAGCCTACGATTAAGCCTGCTGTTACATTTTACCGTTACTTTGTCGGCTGCGAGCGAGATATGTATGCTTTGGTTGCTTTCTCTTTCTTTGGCGACACAGTGTAAAATGTTTACAGGAGGTTTATTAAAGAATAAACAAGTGGAAAAGTTAAAGTCCCGACTTTGAAATACCCTGTACATATTTGTAGAATAATTATAGAAATTAACAAAATTAAGAAAATTATAAAAAAATTTAATCATTTATTGAACGGACGACTCCTCATGCTGATCAAGGATATATGTATGTGTCTTCTTTCTCAAGACTGCCACGCCTCCTTCTGCCTGTTACATCATTCACTTCTGACAAACCTAATATACTGTTATACAGTTCATGTACAGAGTATAAAAACCCACGGGTCAAGCTAACAAAAAAAAATGTATGGCAGGTAAAGAAAACATATTCCATGCGCATATTCAACCTTTTAAAAATTCGCTTCCACATAATAAATACGTACACACACACATCCATATACATGCGTATGTATGTACATGTGTGGTATATCTGCCTATAACTAAGGAACGAGCGGCCACCACAGTGAAGTAGGTCACGAGCGTAAAAAGTCACCCGCTCCATTGAGCGTTCATAGCAAACCGTGGCTTAATTCTCGTATGAAGTTAGAGCGAACAGGTTTTTAAGATTTGAAAATGAACGAAGAAACTAGTATTGAAAGTCGCAAATTATATTCCTCTCTTTAATTTTGATCTTGCTTGAATTGATGAACAATAATAAGTGTCTTGTACTGTCGGCCTCTTAATACACAGCATTAATCGTCCGCTGTCGCGTTGAGTCATAGGTTAGACGTTCAAATGGCGATAAGCAGGTGGCGAATGGGATAAGATGGTATCTCTAACTTGTCGATTAGCGATAAGATTATATGCCAGACTAGCGCCAGCCAAGTTGCTTTAGGACCGAGCGGGCAGTTCTGCATCAGCGGTGTGTGCGACTGGTTTGCCTGTCAGCATGTGGCGTTCTTTGTTTTGGAGTTTTTGTGGCCTGATTGTGCTCTTTGGCTCAACTTGGACCGCTACGTCTACGTACTACACGGCTGGCGTAGTGGAGTTTCGATTACGTGTGAGTGGAGCCAGTTCAGCGCAGCTGCTCGATGAACATTTAGAGGCCTATCTGGCACTGATACGTTCGCCTGAGGCTAATGAAACTGACATCATTGTCTTTCCCGAGGGCACGCTTAATAGTGTACTGCAGCTGACTGCTGTGCCGGCTCCCGGTAGTTTTAATAACAGTCTGTGCAACGGGGCACAGATCGACGAGCAAGTGGCGCCCTTTCTACGCCAGTTGGCCTGTGCAGCGCAAGAAACGTCAACATATTTGGTTATCAATGTGAAGGAGCGCGAAGCATGCGAGACTGGAGACCCATGCTCTTCCAATGGCTATAATGTGTTCAACACCAATGTGGTGTTCGATCGCAATGGTACTGTCATATCACGCTACCGCAAATGGAACCTTTACCTGGAGCCAATGACCAATCAGACAGCTGCACCTGAGCTGGCTACCTTTCAGACAGACTTTGGAGTGACCTTTGGCCATATCATATGCTTCGATATGCTATTTTATACGCCCGCGCAAGACCTAATCGAGAAGTTGGATGTGCGGGATGTGATTGTGACGAAAATGTTCAACTCGGAGCTGCCCTTTTTGACAGGTGAGTTTTGACTGGAGACGGCCTTTTTGCCACTTCCCTAATATTTCTTTTTTCATTTGACAGCCTCCCAACTGCAACAGGGCTGGGCATGGGGCAACAACGTGAATCTGCTGGCTGCAGGGGCCAGTTATCCGCAGGCTGGTATTAGTGGTAGTGGAATCTATGCCGGACAGCAAGGAGCGCTGGTACGTCGCATGGTGGGTGATAGTGACGAAGGCGTCCGGGAGTTACTGGTGGCCCGGGTACCCTTTTGGCCAACGCCAGCTGAGGCCGTGGATGTGCCTAGACCATTGCCGGCGCAGCGGCGTCTTCTGTTGCTGCAGCAGCCAAGGCTGGAGGATTTCAACACACAACTGCTGGAGCCGCATAACGGCAGCAGCAGCTATCGACTGTGTCAGCAGGATTTGTGCTGCGAGTTTCAGCTGAATACTACGATCGTGGCCAACAATATTGAGTCCAGCTATCATTATCGCTTGGGCGTCTTTGTGGGCCAGCGGACCTATGAGGAGGCGCGGTATAGCGTGGTGCGTCTCTGCGGACTGTTTGCTTGCCACAATGCCAGCCTTGAAAGCTGCGGGCAATTGCACGACGAGGTGGAGGGAGAGGCCCCATCGACGTATCTGCAGTTTAGCGAGCTGAGTATTAGAGGCGAGTTTGTTCAGCGAGAGCGGCGGCTCCTCATGCCGAGCACGCTAAGCTCGTCGTTATATGCACTGCAGGCCTCTGAAATGGATTGGCAGTTGGAAGAGTGCAAGGACAGTGCCAAAACGCTGGTGGAGATGCGTCTGTTGCAGCTTCAGTCAGAGCTTCTTACCTTTGGCATATATGGCAACTATTTTGATGAACGAAGCGCAGCCAAGTCGCAGAACCTAAGCGTGGCAATGCTCCTGCTATCTGGTTTAATGCTTTGGAGTAGTTGCAGCTGGCTGGGTCTCGGGTTTTAGAAGCGAGTGCATTTTTATTATAGATGGTCGAACCACACATTAAAAATCTGGCTAGTTATTGCTTTGTTTCCTTCATGAACTACATTTTATCACTCTGTCTTTGTCACCCGTTTCACAGACGTATTTTCGTGGCACACCCGACAAAAGACTTCATAACACTAATAACATAGACGCTGAACCTCTGAAATGCTTAAGGGTTAAAGGGTATACCAAAAAGTCTTACCACTTTATGTGCTTAACATGTATACTCGTATATAAGAAATATACTTGTCTTATCCATAGGACGATCTTTATAAAACTCTTTTTAATATGATTTCAATTTGGTTATATTTAATAGGAACGATTAATGTAATATAAGCTTACTTGATTTTTAAACTACATACATATGTTTTGCTAACTTATCTGTGAATAAATATGATATTAAATAATAGTGTTATAGTAATAACAAATGACGTTTTATGTTAAAAGTGGACTTAGATTTCACTGAAAGTGTAGCACGCCTGGAAGCAATTGAAATAATACAATTAGGCCTTTTATTTTATTTATCATAATTTGCTTCATTTATGATTACGATTGATTTGTTTATGGAAAAATAATCATCAACATTTTAAGATTTTGCAAACAATTCTGGCATCATTTTATTTGATATTTAGTTTCTTGTTCTCTTTGAATGAAAGTTTTTTTTAAATACTCTTATTTTGGTTAATATTGCACTATGGTATTAAATATTATTTAAACGAAAGATTTTTAATTTTTTATTATGTTTATCGTAAAATTCTTTGAATCAATTTATTTATGAACTGCAATAGTGCTAATTTATATAAATGTTACTTTGGACATTCATAAAAAACATTAATTTTGAGAGTTTGGCAAACTTGCTTATGCACCGAATTGAATACAAAACTAAACCTTAAAATTAAGGTTTGTACATTTTTGATAGAGAAGTTAAAGTCTATACACAATTGCCAAAAATAACGGAGCAAAATAGGTAAGATAAATTTTTTCTTGTGCTGTTGGCCAATAATATACACACTTTATAGAGTCAGATATGATTCCTTTTGTTTTGTTATATACGAGTACATTTGCGAAAACGTAAATACCCTTTTGACCATCAGACTACTTAGTACCCTATGTCCTATTGTATTCCTACATATTCCTACATACATATCCGTTTGCAATTTTGAGCGAACCGAAGAGGTTTCTGTTTGTCGGGTGGCAACTCATTAAAAGCAACACCAGTGCAGCATAACGGTATGCTTGTTGTCTGCGTGTGTGTGTATTAGGTAAGCTAGTATAGGTGTGTGTGCGTGCGTGTTGTCTGCGGTTAAGCCAAAGCTGCAGATGTTGCGGCAGACTAGAGGTTACTTGTTGTTGTTGCGCCCAAGTAAATTGCTGTTAAGCTCGCAAATTTTAATTAAGTGCCACACACAAACAAACACATAGACTACATATTAGAAGAGACCCGTAATTGATACTCCACACCACGTTGTCTATATATTTTAGGCTTAATTTACGAAAACGTATGCCCGGCGTAAGATGCAGCGGCCAAAACCAAAATGGTGTCAAGTTCATGTCATTAAGATGTGATTAACAAAAATTAGTTGCTGCTTAACGGAAACATGCACACAGACGCACACACATACACACAGATTCGCAAACACTCACACACACTCGCAAGTAAACACATACAGAGCCATGGGCAAGAGCAACAGTGTGCTGCCTGCCTGTGGTTGGCAGTGGGTGGGTGTTGATGGTAGAGACAATGATGACGACTGGAAAATACCGTCAGGGTTGGAGGCAACACACAGTTAGGCGAACAGGCAGGTGTAACAGGCGAGCATTAAGCGCAACACATGACGTCGGCGCTGGCGTCGCCGTTGGCGTCACTGCCTCGTCGACACGGTCGTGCAGAAAGTTTCATTCATTTCAACTGTTGCTCCCCACTTGTTAGCACATGAGACTGGAAGCGAGCAAGCAGCCAAAGTGAGTGAGTGAGCGAGCGAGCGAGCGAGTGAGCAAGGCACGAACTCAGTGCGTGTGGGTAGAGCAGCCTTCCAATTTGGAGAATGCGAACAACCAGTACACCTGCCAAGAAGTCTGTGGCTGGTGGAGACCGCTCACTTGCCTTCGTGTAGACTGCGTTATATTTACGTTAAATTATTCAAAAAATCCTTACCGATGATGGAGATGCTGCTGCGCTTTTGCCAGTTCAGGTACAAGTAGAGTAGATTGAAACAATTAGGGCCAAGCTGACCAGGTGGTACACAGATAGATGGATGGGTTAGTATAGTATGTAGGTAAAAGTACTCGTAGACAGGTGGTTAAATTTATATTAGAAATGCAATTAAAAGCGCAGCAAAAATTGTGCGCTTCTCATTGCGACGTCAGCAGGCAGTAGTGGGAAAGCAAGTGAGCGAGCGAGCGTACTTCGTTTGCCATTTGCGTTTGCGTTGTCGTTGTCGTGCGTCGTGTGCTGCCAACGTCGACGCTGCGTATACGACGTCGCTGCCTCAGCCATCGTCGTCGCCATCGCCATCGACATGGCCATCGCATTCTGCGAAAAGTTTCGTGTGTGTTACATCCAGTAGGCGTTCAGCCTCCGAGCGGATAACATTTCGTTGTTGTAGTATTTGAGGCGCCAACCAGAGCAGCAAAGCCCAACAGTTATAGCCAAAGCGTTGGCGAGTCGTGCGTGACACGCGTTTATTAAGCGAGTATCATTAAAATTATTAATTTCGAATTTCTAAAAAAATTTGCCACAAATACCAATTATACGAGTATTCTTTTGTTATTTATTTTAATTCCGTATTTCATTTTATTTCAATTGCAATTGTTGTGTGTTTTTTTTTATGTGTGCGTGTTTCTGCTGCGCCGTCGGTTTGAACAGAGTGCGCGGCGGCTGCGGCGTAGGCGCGCCAATTTTTTTGAATCTCTTTTTAATAATAAAATAAATGCAATATGTCGTTGTTTTTTTAAATGTGCTAATTATTGAAGTTCAAATCGCTACATATTTTGGTGTTCTTTTTTTGAACTGATAAAGACCCAAACAAATGGCAGCTTGGAACAATAGTTGAAGAGACTTAAAAAAGAAAGGTATGAATATTTTTGCAAATTCCTATATGTTTATCTATTAAAGGTATTCATCAATTGGTGCATCTCTGCGTATGCGTAATATGCGCTCAAATTGATTCATTTAAGTGCAACATTCCGTATGCATAATGTATTTAATATTTTAATTGTCTTTTAATATTATATGAAAGTGTTTAATTATGGATGAATTATACATACATACATATGTGTGTCGAGGATATGTGAGTGGGAGGCAACTGTGTGTTTTTGCCTTGAGCAAACATGGCGTATGATTAATGTTGAAATGTAAAATGAAGTTGAAGGTTGCCTTCATTATTCTGAAGGACGCCACATTCATAGCTCCGCTAAATTTATTTTCAAAATTTACTTTAACGAAAACTGCTCAAATACTGAGAGTTTACTGATGAAATAAGATATTCTATAAAAATGAAAGACCAATTAAAAATATAAAGATTAAAAAAATGGCTATGTTTTTGTATCCATTACTGAAATCTTCGAATGGAAAAGAGTGACACTCAGAAATGTAAATTAAATGAAATTATAAAAATTTAAATTTAAATTTATTTAAATAAATAAAATTAAAATTAAATAAAACACGTGTTTCAAGTGTTGTTTTTCAAATACGATATTTGTGAAGTTTGGAATAGTCAGCTCAGCCTATGCTATATATTAAGGTTTATAATACTATCATTTAACAAACGATGTAATGGGCCTTTGAACAACTTGACAGAATCTCAAAAATATCAATGGAAATGGGCATTATACTATATTACCTAATAATAATTAATTAAAGTCCAAGAGGCCACTCCCAGAAATTTAGTATAAGTCTATTGAAGCTATGGATATTTTCGTTATAGCATCATTGACCCTTTCCTGTTCATGATAGCTTAAAGACAGCTGAATTATTTTGGAGACATATTACTTACTCGTATGTACATAAACGAACTATATCGCAACATTTCATATATCTGTCTATCTGGCATACTAATGTAGAAAAATTTTTGAGCAAAAGTCACTGAACGTGTCTCTTATTATTATTATAAAAGAAGTATTATTATATTTCTTTTACCTTTAATAAATAAAATTGTTTTGTTCAAGGGTATTGAATAAAGGCGTATGTGCCAAAAATGTAATTTCATCAGCAATCCTAAGATTTCTTTGATTCTCAAAACTTAAATATTTTTTTGTCGTATAGAAGGTCATTAGATTGTCGCATGACATTTATGTTGTCCTTTCAAAGTTATTATTATTTTTATAAGACATTTTTTATTTATTGAATCTCTCACAATCGGTTCTCAAATCTTATATTATAGTGGAGTTTGGTTATTAGTTGGTAGACAATTTATCTGACGCCTTCAGATCATTGCTAGTAGATGGAATGAATGGGCAAGTAGGTTTGGATGGGCATGTATATAGTTGGAATATTTTCGTTGAATTTCAGCTTTTTCGGTTTTGAATGTTGGAATGTAAAGGCCATTGTGAGTACCATCGTTGCGAATGCACCAAGGAGCTCCAAGCTTTTGATTGAATTCGTTGAATAATATTCACATTTCTGGCACATGGATTTTCCCAATAGCAATAGGCTTAAATGGGCATTATAGTGGTATTATAAAATATGACTTAATAATAAAATTTGAGCTCATAATCCAACATAAGCTGTTTGATTAAGCTTTATACATATGTACGTGTTTACTTTCGATGTGCTTGCGCCATGAAAGTCTCCTGTCGAGATGTAAGTCAACAATTGCGAGATATTAATTCTTTTTAGACGTAACGGAGGGCAATCAGTCCTATTAAGTATGAATGCATTATGCTTACTTTTTTATGCATAGACCCAAAGTGGACCATGGCTGTTAAAATTATTCCTTAAAATAAATAAATAAAACTATATGGACTTGAAACCCATTTTATTTGTGTTCAAATATTCATATCGGGAGCTTTATGTGATTTAATATATTACAATTAAATCACATAAAGCTATTAAATATCAGAGACTCCAGCTTTTTACATTCAATTGCAAATCCAATATTAAAAAAAAAAATATGTTGTTGTGGATGATAGAATTCATACGTAACACAGAAATAACATTATAGACCTTTTTAATAGGACCTTTCATACACTGCTCTTTATTTAATTGGATATTACGGCGTTTAGAAGTTCGAAATACTTAGTTGGCTTAAGATTTGGAAAATA